AGAGAGAGAGAGAGATCACAATCAAACAAAAAACACAATAAAATAAAATAAAAAATGACTTCGACGAAAGTAACGGGTTGTATATATTCTACTAGCAAAGGGATAAAACTCAACTTTCTTCCCTACAAAAGCACAATATATTATGCAGATTATGCAGATACCTTTAACAAGTGACTGACTAGATCTCATACCGTGATCACTAGGATATCTATGAGATATTCTATCATGCATTGTAAAGCTCAACTTTCATTACAAACCCGAGAGACCAGAATGTTCACTCATAGCTGAGGAAACTGATTTCTGAAGCTCCAGAAAGAAATTGTAATCAGACTGCATAGATGACCTCTCCACTGCTGTCGATATCAAGATCAGGATCTGAGTCCAAATCTTCCATGTCATCATCCATGTCCAGGTCTAGATCGTACAGGCCAACTGGCAGTATGGTAGCCTCGGAAATTATTTGCATGATTGCATCAATGCTCTGCATGGGTTGATCAGGCTCTTCATACTGGTTGCTCATCGTCTTTTCGTCCATGAGGTCTGCAGGGAGGTTCTTTAGAAACCACTCGTGGTTCCTTATCTCAGGAATGGTGATCCTCTGTTGCATGTGTACATCAAATTGCATTAGGCTCATACAGCGACAAAACTAGACTAAATAATGAGGCTGCTCAAATCCATAGCATAAATATTTTAATAAATGGTGAAATACCCATAATGAATTAATGGATAAATTCCAATGATTATAATCCTGTATAACAAAGTGCACTACCATAACAGCTCTTGGTACAGATCCCTCATATATGTAATTAAGATTGTAATCATAGTCATAACAATATGCATGCTATGGCATGCCCTTCTCGAAGCAGAATTCAGAGTACAGGATTCTCATCCTACTGTGGCTGCGCTTACTCCCAATTCCACTTAGTTCTTAGGGCCTAAAAAACATTTTCTACAACCCTCAGCTATAGCCCTTCTAAGAGTCCAAAGCAACATGGAGGAAACATTCAAGCTTCAATTTTTTTTTTTTTTTTCGTTCCCAAGATGCTCCACTTCATGGAAAGAGGAGGAATATGTTCCCTCAGAATCCCCACACAACGCTTCAAAATAACAATCACCCTATCTTGAAAATCTTGGTTAAAACATGCACACAATTACATAGAGGATTGAAAAAAAAATATTAAACACGCCAAGTTTCTTGAAAATCTGAAATTACTAGCCTTTGTGGGGTCTTCAACAAAGATCCTCGAGATTAGGTGCCGACATTCGCGAGATATTTGGATATTATCTGGAATAGAATACTGGACTTGAAGAATTCTCTGCAGAAAAGTGAATGAAAATTTCTCGTGCTCAGTAAAATTACTCATACAAATAGTAGATACTGATGTCATGAAAGGTCCAAAGAAATACTTGTATTGTCTTCCGGAAGTCTTTTGGTTCATCAGGGTCCTCAAAAGGATATGCACCAACTAGCATCACATACAATGTCACACCGCAGGACATTGCAACAATGCATGAGACCCCAAAATTACAGGCTTCAATTCTTAGATATATTCTAATGAAGCAGCAAAATGACAAGGGAAATATCAAATAAGTCCTACTTTTCCAATGAAATTTCCATTTGACTCCCATGTTTTATCTTCTCCTCCAAAATATGCTACAAGCAAACTTTCTTCTAATTCGATAATTGAAGCTAATGGAATGACACAAACCAATGCTTTATGTTGTGTTTGAATCATAGATTTGGATAGGGCATTGGAAAAGGAAACGGAGACGGAAACAGAAATAATGAGTGAAATGTTAATGAAATATAAGCAAGATTTGGAATAGGGGAAAAGGTGAGTGAAATGTGAATAAAATATAAGTTAAATTTTTTCTCCATTTCCCTTTCCTTTTCTAAATCTATACCCAAAATCATGATCTAAACACAACCTTAAGATTTCATAAGAAAAGTTGCACATAACTGGAACAAAGACTAAAATAGGATAAAAAAGATTTGCAAGGAGTGTTCATGTAGTGTGTCTAACAGTCTAACAGTTGCCAAAATTGTGAAGTTGGGTAGAATTGAAACATGTAATCTCACCTAATGACTTAATGAAGGTAAATTGCTATTAGATACATCAGACAAGTTCACATGCAAATCTAAGACTGTAAAGCACCCATGACAAATATCTCAGCCAACATCTAAAGCAAATGAATAAAGACCTGCCAATTTCTTCCCAAAATTAACAGTGGAATGCTCTCTAAATTGAAGACATTTTAGTGCAGCCTATCTGATAACAACAATAAAAGCATGCCAACTTCCTTCTTTGGTCAAGCTTACATTTTTGTTTTGTCATTAAATGATTACTATTCATGGTAATTAACTTATTATAAGTACCATGACATCGTGTAAATTTAACAAAGCAAAAAAAAAAAAAGAAAAAAAAAATTAGCATAAAAGACATGGACTGTGTGAATCATGTTATAATAACTTTCATGTGAGCCCCATGAACTAAAAGCAAAAAATATTTGGATAAGAAATTTCAGGAAAGAGTAAGAAAATATTAAAAAAAAAAATTAGTAGAGTAATTTTAATTTCAATTGCTTTATTTAATCATTGATTCATGCTTTGACTAGAAAATACCAAGGCTTACGTGAGATGCGTTGAATGGCTTGATATATATTGTTAAGCCCATTCCCTAATGTGGGTATCTATATTATGCTTGGTACGTGGTAAGCCTTACAGGCGTCACATCCTCACCATCACACATCCACGTGGCAGACCCTTGAGGCACCACGATGAGTTGGGTTCGTATGCCTAGCCTAAGTGGGGGCATGCACAACACCAAGTATGAAAACATGGCCACAGCTCACTTTGATAGAGCTAGCTCACCTAGAGCTCTCCATGGCCCTTCATAACTCAAGAAGTATATTCTTTGCCTACTCATCCCAACTCTATAGCAACATAGTTGGACTCTTGGGTCACCTATGTTTACTTAGTTGCTCAGGATGAGCCCTTGGCTCACCCTATGCACTCACCCCCTTGGCTGCCTAGGTCGGGAGCAGGACCTAGGTACTCCCGCTTGGGATCATTAGAGGATTGTGGATTGGAGGCTAAAACCTCAGGATCATCGACGTCGTGGAGTTGTCTCCCAACAGTGACAGCTCCCTCTTTGACTTTGCTTAGAGAAAAAGACAAGGCTAACCCCACTCCACAAAACAACTTGCAAAACTAAGCAGGAGGACAAACAGCCACCCCGCTCCCTCTATCGGCTCCAAGCCAAGTACCTCCACCACAAGTTGGTTCGGTCGGTGGAACTCCCACCGTAATGGCTTCAACTTACTTTCTGACTCTTCTGCCAGACCAGACTCCTTTAACCTAATCATTGACATTAGACGTGGTGAAAGAACACATATACAGTCTACGTCAGACAAAGGTCACATCCCTGCTTCTCTAGAACTGTACCCAAGTTTGTCTGCTTTGATGGATGAAAGGGGAATGCTAGGGAGCACGTTTCGCGCTTTCTTGATGCTTTTGGTGCCCACCAAGAAGACTGAAACCTCTGTATTAGAGTTCTCCAAATCCCTCATAGACCGAGCATTTTCTTAGTATGCCAACCTCGCCGCTGGTTCCATATCTTCGTGGGAAGACTTGGTGAAGAAGTTTTATATCAAGTTCTTTTATGTCGAAGAGAGATTAACTACTCTCCACCTCATGAGAGAGACACAGCGATAAGGAGAAGATATCTTGGTTTATGTTCTCCGCTTAAGAGAGAAAGTAGTAGACATTCAAGATCCAATGGAAGAACATCAGCTGGTGTCAATGTGTATCGAAGGGATGCTCACAGCTTACAAGACTGGCCCTCTCTGATAGGCCGCCTCACTGGCTTCTCTCGTAGGCAGAATATGGTATCATTTGCAAAGCCCTTAAGGCCATCAAGAGCCAAGTTTCGGCTAACATCCTAGCTCATTTCCCAAGCAGAAACATGAGCTGCCCTCAAATGAACTTCCAGGTGATGAATTTCAAGATGTTGAAGTGAATATCGAAGGAGAATGGAGCTTGAGCTTCGACGAATCATCTACCTCCAAAGGAGGAGTTGGAATAGTACTTCTCTAAATAAAACTTAAGTCAATTTGTCATACAAACTGGAGTTTAGATGTTCCAACAACGAGGCAGAGTATGAAGCCCTGATATTGGGGCTTATGGCAGCACTCCATCTAGGAGTAAGTTTTCTAGGTATGAAAGGAGACTCTAATCTAGTGGTCAAGCAGACCAATGGAGACTACGCTATCAAAGAGCCCCGTTTGCTTCATACAAAACCATCGTTCGAAAGCCGACAAATGAATTCGACACAGTAAGGATAGAACACACTCCTTGCTCTACCAATCGACACCTAGGTGCCCTCGCTACCTTGACTTCTAAAGTAGAATTCTCAGAAGAATTAACCAAGATAGAGTTCCTGAAACGCACCATACCATGCTTAATAACAATTATCTTTCCTAAAGAAGAACCCACTGACCGGAGAGCCCCAATGAAGTAGAGCTCCAAGGTGATAGAGCTCTCTTTGATAGAGCTAGCTTCAAATATTTTCATCAATTTTTGGCTAAGTTTCCAAAGGAGTAGAGCCAACAAAAGTAGAGCCCATGTAATGGTCGATCTCTCATTGGTAAAGCTAGCTGGTAAATATAGCTCTACTAGGTAGAGATAACTCCACGGTGATAAAGCTCTCCTTAGTAGAGTTATCTCCAAATACATTTGTTAGACTTATTTATTTTGATGATTTATTTAATTATGTTTTAATTTATTTGGAAGAGAAAAATAGAATCAAAATTTATTTTGATGATTTATTTGAAAGAGAAAAATAGAATCAACATTTATTTGATGATTTATTTAATTATGTTTTAATTTATTTGAAAGAGAAAAATAGAATCAAAATTTATTTTGTCCCATTATTTCTCACCTAAACCTTTATCCTAAATGCTGTTAGAATGTATTTAATATTTGATCAAATCAGAAGTTCAAACAATCCAAAACATATGTTCAAACAGCCAAAAACAGATGTTCAAACAACCCAGCACAGCAGTAGTTCAAAAGGTTCAAGTGGAAGATATTCAAATTAGTAATGATGGAGTAAAAGATGTTCAAATGAATACAACGGCTATGAGTTTCATTATATATACCAAAGCCTATGATGTAAACAAGATACAAAAACTACAAATAAGCTACAGAAATCAGAAAATATTTTTTGATCTAAAATCACTCTCATCTATTCTCTGAAAAAAAATTTGAGAAGTGTTCTTCAATTTTTGTTTACATCCTCTCTCAAAAATTATAGATTAAGTCGTATAGCTTTAAGCCCATCTTTCTTGTGTGAAGATTACAGAAAAATCAGAGTCTCATTTTTATATCTATCTTTGAAAGATAATTCTTGTAACTTTCTGTGAAAACAAAAACACATTTTTTTTCAATCCTGTAAGAGTGTAGTACTTTAATATTTTTTTGGACTTAGAAAGTCTGTGTAAAATTCGTGGAGGATTGCTCCATAGGTGAAAAGGTTGCTAGCACCCTGTGAAGTTAGAAAATAGTGAAAAATCTCAAGTGAAGCTTGAGAAGTAGACGTAAGCCGAGTTGAAGCCGAACCACTATAAATTTTTTTGCCTCTCTCCCTTATCTCTTTATTTTATTTAAATTGCCATAGCTATATTTCATATTTTTATTGTGCTAAAATCATTAATTGACATAGTTGTTAGAACACTTGTTTTAATTATTTTTATTTCATTAACTATATTTATCTATTGTGCTAGTCATAATTTTTATTAGGGTATTATTATTTTTATTTGTAAAAACCTAATTCACCCCTCCTCTTAGGTTGTCTTTTGGGTAACAATTGGTATCAGACTAGACTCTTGTTTTAGATTTAACCATTTGAGAGTTTCGATCCATGGCAACCTTAGCTGTAGGACAAGCCACAAATAGGCCACCATTGTTTGACGGAAACAACTATAGTCATTGGAATGATAAGATGACCCTATACCTACAAGCCACTGATTATGCCATGTGCATTATTATCACCAAAGGTCCAAAAATTCCTACCAAATTAGTAGACAATATTAGTGTACCTAAAATAAAAGATGAATGTGATGAGAGGGATCATAAATTATTGCAAGCTAATATTAAAGCCAAACTCACCATTTTTTGTGAATTAGACTCTAAAGAGTATAATAGAATTTCAAGTTGTGATTCGGTAAAAGAAATTTGGGACAAACTTGAGGTAACGTATGAAGGTACAAACCAAGTGAAGAAATCTCGTATTGATGTGCTTGTTCATAGTTATGAATTATTTAAAATGAACTCTGATGAATCTATTTCTAGTATGTTTACTAGATTTACTGAAATTATAAACTCTTTGAAATCTTTTGGCAAAACTTATACTAACAGTGAGTTGGTGAGAAAAATTCTTAGGTGTTTACCAAAAAATTGGGAAGCAAAGGTCACAGCCATTATAGAAGCCA